TCCTTCCTTCCTTCCTTCCTTCCTTCCTTCCTTCCTTCCTTCCTTCCTTCCTTCCTTCCTTCCTTCCTTCATCAAGAACCAGATCCAGCCTTGGGTGGAATGGCAATAAGACTAAAGAGCCTTAAAATTCGATCTAAACCTAATACTGTTTGTCAATCCAATATGCAAAGGTGTATTTCCCCAATGACAGCTGGGAGGACAGATTAATTTATTTGCAACCGTGTATTCAAATCAGCTCATTTGGATGCATACATAACACATCCCTTGCATGCAAATGGTTTGTGGTTCAACCTTACCAGCCCCTACACACACAAACACCCTTAGAGGGTTCTTGCCACTCAGAATGCATATGTGATTTGACAGTCTCACTTGGAATATGTAACACAACTATGTTTCTATTAGACTAAGCTAAGTGAAATAACTAGCAAAAATGTTTTAGGAAGACTGGATATTGCCATTACATTTTCCTTCTGTAGCCAAGATTTGTTGGGATTGCATGATGGTTGGAAATTCTAAGAATGACACTTGGAGGGTATCAGGTTATTAAAAAATAGAATTTATAGGTCCACAGTGTTCTTCTCTTTGGTTCACCCCAGATAAGTTGGATTGCAAATTTCACATTTCCTAGTCAGTTTAGGACAAAGATCATCTCAAGGAAGTTGGGTTGGAGAAGGATGGCTAAAACAACTTGTAGTAACATCTGAAGGTGATAGAGCATGGGTGTCAAACTCAAGGTCTGGGGGCCGGATCTGGTCCACAGAGTGCTTAAATCTGGCCCACAAACTGCCTGGAAATATCAAAGGACCAGTCTGCAGTGCCTCTGCCAGTTTTTGGCTGGCAGAGTGCTGCTGGAGTTAGTGGAGGCTGAAAACGGGGTACATGGGGTCCCATGTCCCATGGGGTCCCTCCTGCAGAGTGCAGGAGGTCGTGGAGGGTGAAAAAGAGTTGTGGGGGCCCGTTTTGGCCAACAGGGTACTGTAGGAAGTGTCCACCCCATCTCCCCCCTGTTCCCACCTCCACGCCAGGGGTGGCTTTCTGCCAGCATTACTGCCGGTTCAATGTGCACACGATTTGCGCATTGCCTGTAAATAGGTCTGTGCATATGCACAGCATTAAAAATGTCAAAAAAACATGCCACAGCAACCGGGAATCGGTTCGGTGGTATGGCGAGCCTGCCGTCCCTACTGGTTTGGCGAGCCAGTCACAATTTCTACTACTGGTTCACCTGAACTGGTGCGAGCTGGTGGCAACCCACCTCTGCCCCATGCCAGCCTGCAGAGAACTATAATGCTGATCCGGCCCTCAAAGAAATCCAGTTTGACACCCCTGTTATGGAGAAGATTTGCTCATGTGTTGCCATCAGGCGAATGTGAGATTGTACGTTTACTGCTGTAAAATTGCCTTCAAATCTTAGGCAAAAAGCTTTTGCCTTTATGAAGTACTAATGGCTCCTGAACCTCTTAAAATTTCCTTTATGAGTCTTTCACCTTTTCCATCACTGTCAGTTTTCTTGTGAATCTCTCTCTTTTTCTCTCCCTCCATCCCTCTCTCTTGACTTTGCAGAAATGCAGTCCTAACTTTTTTAAAATGAGATTTCTTGGAAATCTTTGCAAAGAGAATGGCCATGAAATTGTATGGAAATAGCAACCACTTGTCTTGAATGGTATAGGGTCTCCTGCTTGATCAGGGGATCGGAGTACTAGACCTCCAAGGTCCCTTCCGAGTCTGTTATCTATATACATATAAGTGAAATACCACTCATGCATCATCACGAAATCTCCAGGACCGTAAAGCCTACAAACTTGAAATTTGGCAACTCTGTTCCTGTTCGCTTCTAGGTGCTCACTTTGACCAACAGAGCATTAGTATTTCTTATATTAACACGCTCCAATGCTGAAGAGTTAGACGTTCTACTCCCCTTCCCCACCTGAAAAGACCTCTGTTCCAACTGCCACTTGGGCATGTGCATGGTCAGCGCATGACTCATCCAGTCTGTGGGCTGGGATGAGGATCAATGGGGTCAGCCTGAGGGAGAGAAGGGGATAAGATAGAAGAGGCCTCTGTGGGGCAAGCCTGTGGGAGAGAAGGGGATAGGAGAGGATAAATGGGGGCAGCCTGAGGGAGAGAAGGGGATAGGAGAAGATAAATGGGGTAAGCCTGAGAGAGAGAAGTGGTGAGAAAGGCCGATCATAGCTACTCATTAATGTTCAAGCTTTAACTATCAATTTATCAAGCTCAATCACATAATTCCATACTGAAGCAAAATATTATTGTCCTTTTCTCTTCTAGAGAGAAATTTCTTGGCATCATGATATTTTTATCCAGGCTGACCTGACCTGCTAAACATCAACAGGAGCCAAGCAACTTGTCTTTACACCTTGTTTGCCAAAACTCAGTTTTTTGTGCTACTCGTATTCCCACCCCCCCTTACATTTATACTGAATTTTTAAAAGCAACGGTGAACTTTATTTAGCATCAAAACTATCTTCATATGCCAGATGAAAAATGTATTCCATCCAGAAACCCAGCTCTATGATTAGCCAATAACATTTTGTTTCAGGAGAGTTTTGGTCGCCACGATGTAGAAAAGATGTGGAGACTCTAGAAAGAGCGCAGAAAAGAGCAACAAAGATGATTAGGGGACTGGAGATTAAAACATATGAAGAACGGTTGCAGGAATTGTATATGTCTAGTTTAATGGAAAGAAGGACTAGGGGAGACATGATAGCTGTGTTCCAATATCTCAGGGATTGCCACAAAGAAGAGGGAGTCAAACTATTCTCCAAGGCACCTGACAGTAGAACAAGAAGCAATGGGTGGAGAGAAGCAACTTAGAACTGAGGAGAAATTTCCTGACAGAACAATTAATCAGTGGAACCGCTTGCCTCCAAAAGTTGTGAATGCCCCAACACTGGAAGTCTTTAAGAAGATGTTGGATAGCCATTTGTCTGAAACGGTATAGGGTTTCCTGCCTAGGCAGGGGGTTGGACTAGGCAGGGGGTTGGACTAGAAGACCTCCAAGGTCCCTTCCAATTCTGCCATTGTATTGTAAACCAATGATATGAATATCTAAGAATATAGCTTTCAACTCACATGCCAAGTTCTGTGCTTGTATATATGCATACAGCAGTCCTTTCTTTTGCAAGCCTCAATGATGCTCATCGGTTTTCAATTGTTCTGGACATAGTTGAACATTATCAAATACCACAAGCTATAATCATGACTTTCTAGCCCATGCACCATGAAGAACCCACGGATTTCTTCCCCCGCAAAATGAGAGAAAAACCATTATTGTTTCTGGCACGGAGCTTCAAAAAGCAGTAGGCAGAGGAACAAACATCAGGCAGAATTTGGAAACGAACCACAACCGAACAAGAGTGAATGGAAGAGCTGTTACCTGCGGTATTGGATGTCACCGGACGTGCAATGGCTTCTGATTTGGTTTCGCAAAGAAAGTCATCTATAGAAGGACTCAGCAGGGGTCGGCTTTCTTGTTGCTCATTCACAAGCTAGTGACAAAAAAGCAAGAGGAGAGGGTTGGATGTGTGTGCATGTCGGTACCGCTTAACTACGCACACAAATGTCACAACAGCATCAAACGGCTTAATGTATATAAATATATATTATTCCATTTCTGAAAACATCAGGTGGCTTAAATTGGCATACGATTTTCCTTTGAAATTAAATGAGATGAATATAAGCAACTAAATGAGAGGAAGCAGATAAAAAAAAGATAAAACAACACTCGTCAGTACCTAACTTCAGATTTCAGACGTCTGCTAGGAGGGGGGTTATCGTCCTTTCAATAATTATATGCTAATCAGGTTCCAAAGGGCATGCTTTTTATGATTTGGGATCTAATGAACCCCCAATTTAGCTGGGTTCACACAATAGGTTAAACCCCACCCTCTTGTTAGCAAAATACAGTTGCTGTCCTTGTGTAACTTGCTATACTCAAATAAATAATGGATTAAGGTTTTAGGCTTATCATGGTTTAACCCGATGAGCTGCTTTCTTCAATCTGTGCCAGAAATCTATTTAGCCTACTTTAGCCTGCTGTGCAAATCCAGCCAGGCGGATGGGCCGTGCAGATTCACCTGCCTTTTTGCATTTATGCATTGTTCCCTTTTCGGCAACGAGCCAGAAATATGGCAACCTGCCTTTTCTCAAGAAAAGAGAGCCCACCTCAACTGCAGAAAGCAAGAGGAGGCAAGAGACCAGACCCATCATCCAGGTGCCTTTCCTTTCCATCCCTTGTTCAATTCGGCTGGATAAACCATCCCAGGCACATTTCAAAAACTTTTGGAAAACAGGATGCTATGGATGTCATCTGCATGAAGGCAAGAGCCCTTATAAGGTCAGAGGGTGCATGTGAAACTTCCATTGCCGTCTATGTTGGCTCAAAGTGAAACTTTAGATTGTCATCTTCAAGATTGGCCACTTCTTGATGGACTCCTTCCATCCACAGATGTCAGTGCCAATGAGGAGGAGAGTGGTCATTTCAGACCAACCATATCTGACAACTCAAGAATGAAAATTAACTCTTAACCCTTTCCCCCTCTAAACTACGAAGATCTAATCTATGAAGTTCTCTCAAGAGCCTTTCTGCTCTAATCTATGAAGATCTAATTTATGAATCGATGAAGATCTCCTAAAGGTCTTTCAACAAGATGTTTTGGAGCACCATGAAGAGAACATTTGGTGTCTAGCATGCTAATTATGTGCCCACGTGTCCATTAAAGGTTCTGAATCTGAAATAGGAAATTGCAAGGTGAATTAAAGTTTGCTCCTGCACCTTCTTGAACGTTGACCTCACACATAAGAAATGGCCGCTGATCGCATCTCTCTATTTGATTGAGCCTATTGTTATACATCCTTTCATAGCTTGTTTTTCCGGTGAGACCAGTGTATCAGGCTAACTTGGTCTACCCAAGTATGAGACAGAGCATACTGCTTCCACTTTCGCCTTTCGGCCCCAATCCAGGAGCCTTCGCAGGCAGTCACTTTCAAGACAAACTATTTTTGTGTTGAATTTACATTTATTGACCAATCTAATCCATAGCTTATAGATCTTTTCTGATTCATCCTCCTCCTTTTCTGCACCATCAATGCTTTCTATTCAAGATCCAAAATGTTGAATGGCTACATGTACTGTCTTATATGTAAAAGTCTGTTTCCCCCCCCCTTCCTTTGGATTGTGAGCCGCCCTGAGTCCCCCCAGGGAAAAGGACGGCATACAAATAAACAATCTAATCTAATCTACATAATATTCTATTTATTTATTTCCCTCTAATAGCAATAGCAATAGCAGTTAGACTTAGATATTGCTTCATAGGGCTTTCAGCCCTCTCTAAGCGGTTTACAGAGTCAGCACATATTGCCCCCCAACAATCCGGGTCCTCATTTTACCCACCTCGGAAGGATGGAAGGCTGAGTCAACCTTGAGCCGGTGAGATTTGAACCGCTGAACTGCAGATAACAGTCAGCTGAAGTGGCCTGCAGTACTGCACCCTAACCACTGCACCACCTCGGCTCTAAGAGTCTGAGATGGTGTATGTCTTATCTGATTTCATCTCATAACCAGAGTGGGTTGCAAATCCTGCCGCTACCGGTTTGCTCATGCATGCACTCATGCGCAATGCTTCTGCGCATGTGCAGAAGCATCTGGGTGGAACCTGCCGTCAGTACCGGTTCACCCGAACCTGGCCGAACCGAGAGCAACCCACCTCTGCTTATAACTATCATTCCCACTAGGCTGGAGTGAGTCCCAACGATTGACTGAAGTTATTCGGTAAGCTTTCATAGCTGGAGGAAAATTGTAACTTGTTTTTTTTCCCCAGGCTCACTTGCTACCTTAGGTGCCATGCTAACACCCTTCTAATGATTTAAAAATTATCCATCAACTTGAGGAAGAAACCCACAAACAGATATAGCAATCTAGGGTCCAGGGATGGGCTGCTCGGGGGCTGCAGGGGTTTGGGACAACCTCTAGTTAAGATTCTGTGCAGTTTGGAGAACCCCCAAATCTTACTCCTGGCTGGCCACGCCCATCCTGCCCCTCCCAGGAGTCCCCATGTGGCCTGTTTTGGATGCAGGCAAGTACAGAGCACATGTGGAGGCTTGGGGAGGGCAAAAAATGGGCCTACTGGAAGTTCGGGAAGGCTGGAAATGGGCCCGTTTCTGGCCTCCAGAGGGTCTCCAGAGCCTGGGGAGGCAGTTTTCACCCTCCCGGAGGCTCACCTAGCACATCTTGGCCATGCCCACCCAGCAATCGGGCAGACAACCTTTTGCTAAAATTTTTGAAGCCCACCCCTGACTGTCTACCCATGTTAATATCCAGATGATAGATTAATCCAGATGATAGATTTATCAGAACCAATGGCATTACTCTTGGTCTCTAGAAGGAAGACTGTATTCAGTTTAATGCATGGAGGATTGGCTCTCTTTCCAGGCATCTGTGTATTGCTGAAGGAAACAAAGTTAAGGAAGGGTCAGGTTTCCTCCCCAGGGATGCTTGGTCTAATGGAGAAAAGGGGTGGTATTTTAGCCTTTAAACCTCCCCCCACCCCAAGAACAGGGGTCACATTGCTTTGGCAATATCATAATGCAACCAGCCACATGCTTTGCAATCCTTTTGAGGCTGGAATTAAAGTATAAAAACAACATGGTTCCCAATTGCAAGAACATTTTCCACTTCTGGAGTTAATGTTGCTTGCAAAGTTGGAAGTACAGGCAGTCCTTGACTTACTCACTGGCTGTGATTCCCTTAATGACCACCCTGCTTAGCAACATAAATTCTGATTGTGGTCATGTATTGAAGAATACTTACAACTATTACTGTATTGCCTTCTTCCAGATTGCTGGTTTAAAAAAAAACAAACGTTCTGATTGGGCTAAAGTTTTAGAATTTTCAGGTGGTCACCCATTCAAATATGAACCATAGCCAGTCCTGCTTAGCTTCACCCAGATAACATAGGTGCTATCATCCATTTAGCCATAAGAATGGGAAATTATTTCTTAAATAAAGTCCTTTAGAAAAGAAAGGAAATATCCAAGCAAATGAGCCGCAGTGGCACAGTGGTTAGAGTGCAGTACTGCAGATTATTTCTGCTGATCACTTAATTTAATTTAATTTAATTTAATTATTTAATAGATTTGTATGCCGCCCAATCCCGAAGGACTCCGGGCGGCTTACATAAAACAATTTAAAAAAAGATTAAAAAAGATTAAAAACACAAGACAGAACGACTTAAAAAACAGAAACACAACATGCACTCAGTTGTAATGGGGCTGAAGCTCAGTCATGGGCAGTTGTAAGTCAAGGGTTAGCTGTACGCCTTGTTTTTGTTATATCTGGGAAAATAAAATTTAGAGGAGTTTCTATTCTGCTGGGATTCACAGATATCGAGACCTAGTGGGGTTTGACCCACGTAAGCAATTGCTACGTCGTTTACCGTGCTTTGTAAAATTAAATGGATGTGTCAATCCTTATTTATCTGAAACTACCGGCTGCAAGGGATAAGATTTCATATGTTCTCTTACATTGAAACACTTTCACTGATCAGATGTCCCCCCTTTCCAATATTCTATTCATCTATTTATGGACAGAAAGCCAACCCTGCTACACGGCTGAGTCTTTGTAATCAAGTTAGCCGTTCTGTGTAACGAAAGAATCCAGCCAGCTAATGCATTATCTGGAAAGATTAATTTAGACCATGTTGGCTGGCCTGTGAGATTAAAAAAAAAAAGCTCTCTGAGCTGGCACCCTTCAAACATATTAGAACTGAAGCTGTTATTAAGGAATTAATTAATTCTGCAGATGGAGTGGCAGGTTTTCAAGCCTAACTTTAAACAGAAGCTTCTTCAGGAAGAGGCAACGAAGGGAAAAAAAAATGTGTGAAACAAGGAATAATTTAGTGTTACACATTGAGTGAGGAGAAAGGCGATGGTATGGGATAAAGGACGTGGATGTGAATAGGGATACTCAAGAATTCTTCCATACCACAAGATCAGAATTCCAAAGGACTTTTGCAATTCATTTGTTCCCTGTAGTGCAAGGTGCAATCTTCCAAATACTTGAGGGAATGTCACAAAATTGACATTCTCTAGGGCAAGGGTATCAAACTCAATTTCATTGAGGGCTACATCAGAGGGCTACATTGTGTTTGACCTCCAGGGGCTGGGGTGGGTGCGGCCAGAGTGGGCGTGGCCAGCTTGACTGTCAGGCCTGCAGCCAGTTCCTTTTGGGATCTTTAGCCTGCTACACTAATATTCTATTCTACTATGCTGTTTCATTAGTGGGTAATTGGGAGGGGGAATAGTAAGGAGTAGAATGTGATGTTGTCAAAATAAAATTCCTTTCTAGAATCCAAGGTCATCCTTTGTCTGTACACCTCTGCACCTGGATGGGTAGAACTGCCAGCATGGCAGTGGGAGATTGGGCCATGTGATGGACTTGTGGATGTGGGGGCAGGATCNATATTCTTTCATACTTCTTTGAAAAATTTTGTAACAATATATTCCATATAGTATTATAATACTGTAAGACGGACCCTGAGAGCAATGCCAAAGGAAAAAAAAATCATAAATAGAGCTATAAATAAATGCTGGACATAGTTTATTTTTTTTTTTGTAAAGGATACAGGTGAACATATTCCACTAAACACATCAGCAAGGTGATTTAAAAAATTTAACATTTTTCATCTATTATTATTATTATTATTGCCAATATGCCTTCAGTGTAATTTGGATGGAGAATATGTGGATTGAAATAGCTCTCTCCCAGTGTGGTGACAAAGTTAGAACAAGAGGAGCGGGAGAGAAAACGAAGAAAGAAAAAGATACAACAAGAATAAGAGAAAGCAGAGGGAGGGAGGGGGAGAGGAAGAGAGAGGGAGGGAGGGAGAGAGAGAGGTAGGTTGGTAGGTAGGTAAGTATAATTGAACATAGAAGCCAAGAAGAATGGAAGACTTCTAGAAAATGATTGAGCTACCATATCTCAGCGGAAGAGAACCAGTGACCATGGGATGGCAGCAAATAGATACTAAAATGATACTTCTCTACTGCCACCTAGTGGCTGGGTGTTTGCAACCAAAATATGGCAGCTCTACTAATGGTTGATCTCCATTTGCATTGAAATACGCCAGCTTCCTCCTTCAAATCCGGACCATTCTGCCCACCTGTGATTTCATAGTAAGGAGGGGTTTTTCCTCCGGAGACTCCTCCCTCGGTATCTCCTTCATCACCATGGCAACAGCCTTATCTGCCGCCCTAGAGCCTTTACCCTATAACAGTGAAATCAACAATGACTTGTGTCAGGAGGAAACGTATGACATTCCTGTTACAGATGTAGAAATAGCTTTAATATGACATTATTATCATCAATTTCAATTCCCTTCCTCGTCTCCTCCCGCCAAACAAACACACCAAAAAGCAAAGAAGTTAAACTAACATGTAAAATAGTGGAAGCAAATTGTTGGTGCTGGAAACAAAAATGAAAATTTTAAAGCAGTTAAGCAATCATACAAGTATTTGCACAGCTGTTAACAATAAGATGTAATATACATATTTATAGATGCATGGTGTCCAATCCAACATACTTTATCAATTTCCAAGTAATAATCGTTTGTTTTAATCCCATTTCAGTTTTCCATAGATGATACAATGGATTATTTAAAGCAATTTTTCATGGTGTCTAACCAGAAAACTTGGAGCTACAACATTAAGGAAAACATGTCCTTAATGTGGCCTCTAGAATTTGCTGCTAAATTGCCATTTTCCTGGGTCAGTAAGAGGATATGTTTAAATCCATTGGGATGACTGAATTAAGTTCAGGTTAAAATTATATTATATTTAGGATTTTTCCTGGCCAAGTCATTTTAGAAGCACATCTCACAGCACACCAAAGGCCATAGGAAATTCCCCACGCCAAATCCTCCTATATTTTGTTTCCCGGTGGGCTGCAATTTCATAATTTCATTTATACAATATGCAGGATGAATATTTGGACCACTTACTGCCACGGGTTAAATTATAAATCAGCCTCCAGTCTGAATCTCAGAGAGCCTGAACTCTGGAGAGCTTAAGCCATAGTACTTCTCCGTAAAAAGATAATTTCGTTCTATTTAAGATTATTGTGGTGGACAAGAAGGCCTATCTCTCCAAGTTGCAGTGAGACACACAAAGTAATGTACAGGTAGTCCTCAACGTACGGCCACAATTGAGCCCCAAATTTCTGTTGCCAAGTGAGACATTTGTTAAATACGTTTTGCTCCATTTTATGGCTTTTTTGGATAAATGGATCACTGCAATTGTTAAGCTAGTAAGACAGTTGTTAAGTGAATGTGGTCACATGACCCTGGAACACTGCAACCGTCATAAATATGAGTCAGTTGCTAAGCGCCTGCCTTTTGATCAAGGGACCATGAAAAAAAGTCCCTTTTTTCATTGTCAGGGTAACTTTTTAACGGCCATTCAATGAACTGTTTTAAGCCAAGGATTACCTGTATATGAATATTTCAAAACATTGTGTTTAATGTGGAGGTTTTGCTAGGTTAACAAGATGCCAGATCAAAGTTAAAGTTGTAGGATTGGTCACCATGTGCGGTATTGATTGAAAAAGAATTTAGATCACAATGAACATCCCCCCCCCCCAATTCTTATTTGCAAATACCATCCTGCTGAACCCTTTGATTGTTGTCAGTCTTCAGAGACTCTATCATTAACACAGTCATCTAAATTTATCAGGTTACTGCTTTCTTCCATTGTGTCTTTTCTCTTCTTTTTTTTGGGGGGGAGACCAGAGATCGGGATATAATACAGCTCATTTCCCATCACCTGCCATGTAATGGAAGCTTCAGTGGGCCAATTATCTGAAGATAANCTGGCAGGCCACAACAGGCATGGTTGAGAAGCTAAGGTAGACAATCTAATTTTGGGCCTAGAATGAAATTAAATGTTTTCCTTTTTTACATTAAGCTGAGTTTGTAGACTACATACAGCCATGTCATGGAAACCACTGAAAATAGGCTCCCCATGGATAGACTCCAGCAGTGAAGAAATATCACACATCCATTCGGGTTGCATCCAATCATTTTTGATCCCACTCGTATCAACTCCAGAGGAGATACGATTGTGCTGGGAAACAGTCACATGACCAAGGCAATCCCTTTGATCTATGCCTTTATGCATTAAGAACACAACATGGGAGTCTCTAGCATAGAGAGAATTCTTAAATGGCTTCCCTGCTACCGACGAAACACATAAAGTTGGATCTAAAACTTCCTTGCAGCATTACACGAGGTCAGACAAATGCTCACTATGAGAGGTGCATGGGGGGATCAGCATTACAAGGCAGCAAAGTATTTATAGCACTCTGCAACACGATCAAATACAGCAAAGCAGATCCGGAGGCAATTATCAGAAATACGTGTCCACTTAACGATGGCGAAGATGAGGTCAGTTCACACACAGGAGGACAAAAACATGCACAAACCAAGAACGGTTCACTCTGGAAAACTCTTACGGTTACTGGAAATAAAAGCAAAATGGGCATGAAACACATTACAATATGAATCAGGAGTTCCACTCTCTCGTTCAATGTGCCCGATTCATAATCTGGTTTGCATGTAAAACCAAAGCAGGATGTATCAAAGCAAAGCTTCCTGCGCCGTCCCTGTAAATATCTATGGGTCAATAAAAAAGTGGCATCAAACAGGTAGATTTTCCTACAAGGATTATTACCTGTGCGTAATATACATATACAAAGACCACTCAGGTATTTATTTTTCTTTGCATGTTTGTGAAGGAGCTGCCCTTGGGAACTGGCAAGGCGTTAACACAGATTCACTTAAAATACAGACAGAATCACAACCTTCTTACATAGTGGGAAACCAATATGTTTTCACTCTAATACCTGGTGGGACCATGGCCTTCTGAAGTTATCTATTTACCTTGACGTATGTGTGTGGATAATTCAATATTGCAAATCTGTAAAAGGCAACTGAGAAGGAGTTATTTTAAGGCACAGAAGCATATTGGCAATTGCTAATAACTTGAATTAAGCTGCTTTGGGATTTTATACAAATGGAGTAAATTGAATGAAATAATTGCAAGGTTTGAGCTGCCTTTGAATTACTTGGAATCCTTCAAGTAATTTAACATTCAGGGGTATTTGAATATGTAGAAATAATCATAAAAAGGTGGGCTGGTATTTTAATACATGCATTTGCAAATTGTTGATAACAACAGGGCCTATATATCGTTTATGATTGCTATGGTTACCATTATTTTAAACACAATGTGTACAATTCAAACTGGCGAATGGTATAGAATTCATTTATTTCGGTTGTGGAAAAAAAATCCATTTGAATAGCTTCCATGAAGTTAAAAAGGAACATGATTCACATGAGAATGAAGCAGCTTTTGAAGCTGAATTTCCTTTGCAACCAGAAATACTTTTATTCAACTTTTGATTAAGCCATGAACTTCTTATGCTAACTGTGCTAAGGATTATTACATGTTCCTTATTGGAAAACATGTTTGATTTGTTCCTTTGAAAGATGGAAGTTATGGGGCTATGTTTTGATATAGAAATCATTTCTAACTGGAAACTTTTCTTAGATTATGGCTTAGTGTATGGATTTATGCCACATCCCAAATATTTCTTATTATACATTTAGTTTATATTTTAACTGTACAAGCAATTAGAATATGTGATTCTATAGTTATAATTAGATCATCTATAATTAGAATTATGTTGCCTATAATTCTAGCTATTATGTATATACCATGTTAATCAGATACTCTTCATTTAAAGTTTTTAGGTAAAGGTAAAGTTTCCCCTTGCACATATGTGCGAGTCGTTCCNCTTGGACTCTGATTTAATTTTGGATGTTATTTGGAACCCTGACATTGACATCATTTGTGTTGGGGTTGACTGTGGCCTTGAGTTTGATACCTCTGCTCTAGGGCACCAGAGAACAAGAAGTAATAGGTGGAAGCTTGTTAAAGAGAGATAGAAGTAAGGAGAAGCTTTCTGACCAAGCAACTAATCAGTGGGGCAGCTTGCCACCTGGTGTTGTGGATGATCCATCACTGGAGGATTTCAAACAATAGACTGGACAACTCGTTGACTGGGATGGTATACTTCTGACTTGAGATGGGAGTTGGACTAGAAGACCTCTGAGATCCCGTCCACTGCTATGATTCTACAGCCTTAGGCAAACTTGCATCTCATATGCAAACACTGTGCATAGAGCAAGTCAAATAGATTGTCATGGCAGACAATAGGACAGACTGTATGTGTATAGATAAAGTATAATGGTAAAGGTTCCCCTTGCACATATGTGCTAGTAGTTCCAAACTCTAGGAGACAGTGCTAATCTCCGATTCAAAGCCGAAGAGCTAGCACTGTCCGAGGAGTCTTTGTGGTCATGTGGCTGCCATGACTAAATGCCGAAGGCGCATGGAACACTGTTACCTTCCCACCAAAAGTGGTTCCTATTTTTCTACCTGCTTTCAAACGGGAGCTCACTCCGTTACACGGCGCTAGGGATTCAAACCATCACACTACCAACCTTTCTGATGGACAAGCTCAGCATCTTAGCCACTGAGCTTTATAGATAAAGTATATTTTCCTCTAAATGAGAACACATAAGTGCATATGTGAAGTGTAGAAAGGGAATGGTGAATATGTTTTTGTGGCCCTGTCCACTGGGGACCCACAGGTCATCTTTTCCTAAACATTGGTGGCATTCCTGAAGAAATTCTCAACTATTAATCTGGCTCTTGGCCTAAATAGATGAGCATCCAGCTTGCTTCCCTGGTACATTATTTCTCAACCTTGGCAACCTGAAGATGTGTGGATTTCAACTCCCAGAATTCTGAGAGTTGAAGTCCACACATCTCCAAGTTGCCACAGCTGGGAAACCCCAACCTAGTAGAAGATAGTTCATCGCTTCCTGGTTCTTGATCTAAGCACACAAACAGATGGACACCCAATTTCTTTCCATATTGAAGATGGTCCATCACTTCCCAGTGAGGTCCATCCCACCACCAAAGAGTTCCTGCTCTCAGGAGGTGCTACTAATACTACTTGAAACAGGATTCTCCTCCATTTGCTTTAGGGTGGTGTCACCAGTTACTAATGGCAAAATAAGGTTTATGTGTCCTGCAATTCCAGCCATATACAATTAAGTCAATATGCCATAGTTAAATAAATAATGGCTTAAATCCATCCATCCATTCTTCTATAACTGCCCATCTTAGCCAGGTGAAATGGGCT